CGATAAAAGTTGTTCTTTGTGTTTAGAAATGGTTATTATTATTATATATAGCTAATAATGAATATATCGACAAATGACGGGCACCATTTGTATATCAAGTATTACGGGGTAATCCAGATTACCGGTAAATGCGCTACTTGCTTGTGTCGTCTTCATTTGTCACGTGGCCTATTTAAACAATGGCACTTTAAATGGATCTACGGCATGATACGACATTTTAAATTCACTCTAAAATATTCCAATCATGTCTAATCTATAACAACGCAAGGTGATAATTCGGTGAATATGATTAGGCCAGTCGCATGTTAATTGGACCGACAAAAACACACATGTCAACTGGTAGTATTTATTGACAGTGATATATTGTATAGATAATCTATATAGTATGTGTAGTACCTGTGACGTCACCAGTCAATCAACCGGATTAAGGTTGTAATTGAAAATTTGAAAACCATTTTGGGCTTTCGGAGACTTAAACCTTAATAGCTGAATTAATTTTAATCAGATTGGTTTGAACTTGCCGTAAAATGGATATAGTAAGATCAAATACCTATTAAAGTGAAAAAACCTGCCACTTTGAACTCTTAATAAAACCGGAAGTTATACTTCTAGACCAAACATTTTAATATTAATTGTTAGTAGACATGAGGGTCATCATATATGAAAACGTCAAGGGCTATTAAAAGGTTAGGTCACCAGATAGAAGTTGAGAAGTCGAATAATATTCAAAGTGAAACCGGAACTAAACGAAATCAAGATTCAAAAATCGGCTCCCTAAGGATTCTTTCCATTTGGAGTAGGTTCAAAACAAAAAAAAAGTTTTCGAAAATCAGAATCAAAATGGCGGCAGAATATCGAATTGAAGATTTTTTTGTAAAATCCAATATGGCGGCTAAACAGTTGAAAATGTTGTGTAACAAGGTCTCTGAAAATGAAACATAATATCTGGGGCTAATACCACCATGTCATTTTTGGCCTATTTTTAAAATGGAGAGAATTATTCATGTTCGGGAAAAATCGGAAGGCCTCGGTAATTTCCGAAAGTTTCTGGAAGTGGTCACAAATCTTTTGAATATGCCATTTTAAAGGCATCGATGTGTTCCTTATTCCTACCAAGTTTCAACTTGATACCTCAAATAGTGACTGAGATACGCTATCTTGAATGTCGCAAAAATGACTACAACATCTACGTTGACAAAATGTTTGCACCATGTACAGTTTTGGCTGCTCAAACTGACTACCCCCCCCCCCCCCCAAAAAAAAAAAATTAAAAAAATAAAAACATAAAAACAATACGTGTTTCGACCGAAGATTATTTTTTGTCCCATCCATAAAACACTTCCAGTTTGTCAAAAATGACCTAATTTATTTTTAATAAATAGATCTACGGAGCACAACAACATCTACGTTGACAGAATTTTTGCACCGTGTACAGTTTTGGCTGCTCAAACTGACTAAATCCCCCCCCCCCCCCCTCCCAAAAAAAATAAAATAAAAACACAAACAATACGTGTTTCGACCGAAGGTCCGAAACACGTAACTAGTTTTACGCATCTTTGTGCCTTTGACAACATATCTTCTATTCTTTCTATCCGATCCTGCTGAGTTTAATTTTACTGATTTGATAACCTTGTGACTATATCCGGATAACTCTGCTGGCTATTTCATCTGACGGGCTCATTTATATCCCCATTTACATTATCTTCGAGGACACCATTCACGCTACCGAAAATCTGTCACAAAGTTATGACTAATGAAGCATAGGATGAATGATTTCATTTACAGAATCTTGCCTAAAGGTGTTTATTATCTCAATAGTATACATCAGTTCTATCGACCAAGTATATTGGGATTTGTGTAAGAATTTATCTTAGTTGCGTTATCTTGATTAATAAACAGATGCTCCATACAGATGGTTTAGAATGTGAGTGCTCTCCAAGAATTAGTTCTTGTGTGTCATGCACTTCTATTAATTAGGGTTCATGTATTAATGGCGGCTAGGTCAGTTGTATATACTGGATCGTATTTTGACCTTGGAGATCCTTTGTCTCGTGCCTAATTAATGATGCCGTAGAGAAATACAACCTCAAAGGTCATAAATAGCAGCTAAATATATTGTACGGTTTTAATTATGTATGTATGTGGGGAAAGACCAATTGGCGAATCATATATTTATCAGAAGGAGAAGACTTTTTATACGCCCACATTTTCATGAGGACGTATATTGTCGTTGCCCATGTCCGTCCGGACATCCGTCCTTCCACAATTGTTTGTGGACACTCTACAGGTCACAATTCTTATCCGATTGCCACGAAAATTAAAAAATAGGTTTATCTCCCTAAGATCTCCTATCCTTTCGATATTGGCAGGCATGTATCGGACCGTAACTTCATGGATTATGGCCCATGAGTGTACGAAAAATCGCGTTTTTAGCTTGTGGGCCCTATAGTTTATAACCCAAAGATCTCGGTTCTTTTCGATATTCGCACATATCGGACCGTAACGTCCTGAATTATTGCCCCCGATTGTACGAAAAATCGCGTTTTGAGCTCGTGGACCCTATAGAGGTCATAACTTTTATCCGATTTAAAAAAAACCATTTGAATATATCAACGTTACACCCTAAGTATGGTTCGAATTTTAAAAAAATCGGACCAAAACTTACAGACAAAATGGCCACTCCTCGTACTCAAATAGCGTAAAAATATGGTATATCAATGTTGTGGACCCTTCTGATTTTGATGAAACTTGAAATGTAAGTTTATAACCCAAAGATCTTGGTTCCTTTCGATATTCGCGCATACTGGATCGTAACTTCCTGAGGGGATCTCGCTGGCTAAGTGGGTAAGACGCTGGCTCGGTAGTCTGGAGGTCGGGTGTTCGATCCCTACATTGGCCGGGAAACTTCATTCAGATTTCCCGGCGTGGTCCCCCCTTGTCAGTGATACAGGATGGAGGGCCTGACAAGGACAGCTGTCTAGTCATTCGGATGAGACGAAAAACCGAGTTCCCGTGTACACATTGGCGTGCTCGTAAAAGATTCCTTGACAGTTGGAATTCGATATAAGCGTAGGCCGTAGTGCCGCTTTCCGGGCTGAATTTCCCCTCATAGCACACTGTATGGCGTATGCCCGTCTTCATTAGCCCAGTTCGGAGCAGAACTGGGTGCGTAATTATAGACATAGGAAAATTACAATCGATGCACAATTTTCTAGCGGTTAGGGAGCATCGAGATATTCTGTAGGTGTCGATTTATAGTATGCAAAATATACTAAACAGCAAAAAAAAAATCAGAGAGGCACTTTAATCAAATCATTCTAGAAAACGACTTACTAAATGGATCAAAGCAATTTTTTGTGAACAATATGTTGTTAATTAGTGATTAATTCATCACGATTCCAAGACATTACGAGAAGGTTTAGAGTCTGTACACAGTCTATACATCAGTATTTGGTGTGTCCACCGCGAGTGTCAATAACAGCAGCGCAGCGTCTGTACATGGAGTGGACCAGACGATTGATGAACGTCATTGGCACATGAAACCACACTCTCAGAAAAGCCTCGCGCAATCCATCGGCTGTGTTTGGTCTCGGTACGACGTTATTAAGTCTCCTCTGAATTTCATCCCAAAGATGTTCTATCGGGTTTAAGTCCGGACTAAGGGCTGGCCAGTGCATAACGTTGACACCGTTCTGCCGTAGAAAGTCTCGAGTAACTCTAGCGGTGTGGGCACGGGTGTTGTCATGCTTGAAAACGTTGTTTCGATGACGTGCTAAATATGGTATGACGTGGGGTCTGAGAGCTTGATCGGTGTAGCGCACAGCAGTGATGCCCCCTCCTCTCCCTGGACCAAGATTTTGGAACACCACAGGACCCACTCTCTGGTTCAGGCCGATTCCACCCAAACCATTATGCTTGGACCTCCCCATGAGTCTCGTTCCATGACACATTGGTTAAAATAACGCTGGAAACGTCGACGCCATATTCAGGTTCCGACATTTGCAGTTGATACGCAACACCGACTCTCATCTGTGAACAGAACAGTTCTTCATTACCTGTGTCTCCAGTTCTGGTGTTGTTGGGCAAACTGTAGACATTCACGTCGATGGCGAGGGGTTAGGATCGGTCCACGGTAAAGCCTACGGCAATGGATGTTCTCTCTGGTGAGACGTCGGCGCACTGAATCAGTACTGATGGGTCTTCCGCTTCCGTGTGTTCCCACTGTCTGGCTTGCTGTCTCAGATGCCTGGGTAAAGGGATTCTGCAAGTGCTGTCGCACTGGTTATCCCTTGGTCTACCAGTTCGGGTGTTGGTGGCCCGTGGTGTTGGTGGCCCGAAAGCGTTGCTGAAGCCTGCAAGTGATTGGCAACGGCCTGGGCAGTGTGGCCAGCGTCGAGCCTTTCAAGCGCCTGATTCCTCTGAGCTGTCGTGAGTCGTGGCATGCTGCTGACATTGTAGTGTGAATGATTCAACCAGGTATGGGGGTGCATTATATAGGACTGGTCCCGGTGAACAACACGTGCACCATGAGTTACATGAAAATCATGGAAAACACATTATCATCTCAGAAGTCAGGTTGCGTTTTTGAGAACATTTCCTATGTTCAATTCTGTGTTTGGGAAGGAGCCTTATTGCTTAGGTAAAGTTGGAGATGTAGTCACAAATATACAATAAAAACATTTGGCAAGTTTTATGCAATGCGTCTATTCAGAGTAACATACCAACCTGACGTTTTTTTGTTGCTGCTTAGTATAGTTTAAATCCAAGTACAAGGTACAATTTGTGCACTAATATTGGGTCGGGTTTTTTGCACGATTCTACACGGGGTGATGTCGAAAGACAACACAATTGATGCTGGAAGAATCCTGTTTTAGATAAAAGCAACAGACTTTTATTGCTACCTATAATATATATCCGACACACTGAATACAAAGGTATCACAATGGTTGTTAATTATCTTACTTTTCCAAGTAAATGAGAAGGAGTATGTTCTCTTCCAGAAGGAACAAGTATATCTTGTGTCATACACGACACCAGTCACAATGCAACACTATATGGAGGTGGCGTTACAAGCACAGAACATGAGAAATGGTATAATATGTCCAAGAAAGATTATTCAAATTCATGGAAGACGCCCATCAGATTTCACAACTTGGACTTGGATTTCAGAAGCAGAATTCTAGTATATTGGTAAAATACCCAAATACAACAAAAAATTGTTACCTCTGTGAACTCCTTAAATCAACATACAATTTTAACACAAGATTGTTGGTAATAGATAAAACTTGACAATATTTCCCACATATGTTGTTGTAAATCGTGTACTATTACAAATAATGCAGATATATTTACTGTGATATTTACTGACATTGCAAATGACCTTATGTTTCCTTGATATTACTCTCTTGATGTAGTCGCCCCGATTTAATATCACATATGTCTAATTCTCATTTCTTTTCCCCTGCCTTCATTATTTACACCCTGAAAACCACTCGACTTCTAAACATATTAAAAACCTTTCCTTATATACGATGTATTCCAGACTCTTTATGCTTTTCTTTGCCACAGGAAAAGAGAAGTACGTATATTCCCTCTTGACTGAAATACTTCCTTCTGACTACACGTGTTTGCTGCGTTATCTATTGGATAATTGACATTATGTGATCATACATACCACCAAAATACTCTCCAAACCTTTGATTGAATTTTTGATATTTTACTTGCATCAACTCTTATACTGAACAATTCACCCAAATAACCGAAACCATGAATATATTTCCGCTTCAGAAATATATGTTTCAATCCCCCAATTCTGCGAATAACCATCAATTGTTCAGTATTGAATTTGTACTATCAGTATACTAGGGGTATAGATGCGGGAAGAAAGGACACCTCCATAATCAGACTATGTATCACGTTCTTTTAAAAAATAATAATACGCCCACTTTTAATATGATCAATTGTGCCCAGAGTTTCTTGTGAATAAACTGCAGACTGCATTTATTGTCGAATTTTCACGTTAGGTTAACAGAACAAAAACCCAGCAAATCGATGTAGCAAATGTTCAGGCATGTAAACGTGATATAATCAATTTCTCGGTGCGATGTTTTTGTAAGATTGGGATTTGCTGACATTGATTTTAGGGCAAGAACGGACGACCACGCCGGTCTTTTCATACAATAGTTATCCTTATTAAATAATATATTTTGCAATGTAATGATGTTGCCCAAAGCATCAGTATTATGTTCTAGAACTATAAGTTTACCAATTTTATCGCTTATTCAACAATATCAATGATAAACTGTTCATAGAGTGCTATTAGGTCAAGTCTTTATGAATAACCAGGGAAGATCTTTTTATTCGGGCAATTTGACTTTTTGGGCAGACGGGTAAAGTGAAAACAAAAATTATTATTTCATCTAGCTGGCAAAATAAAGTGCCCGAAATCTAATAAAACACTAATTTTACTTTTCTTTTAATTAAACACAATGAATTTGTACTGAATTTACTATGGATTAAAACATTTTGTCTGGAGCCACTCTACTTTGTTAAACATTTTTTCGGGCATCGATTATTATTTGTGAATGCAGCTGCAAGTCTGATTTGATAGTTGGGATTCAGGTCGGCACAGAGTGGGATTTCGGTTGCAAGCCGATTGGAAACTTTGAAGTTGCTTATTTCACCGGCTAGGCATTTGCGGCGGTTAAAATTTCAAATTTTCTCGAGAAGAGTGAGTCCCCCATACCCCGCGACGATTGATTTGTTGTTTGGCATTTGGGATTCAGGTAAGTCACCTGATGTAGGATATATTGGACCACACTGGAAATGCTGTATTCACGGACTGGAATAGCAGTTAAATTTTCAACCATTCATTGAGTTCGTACGCCTTTTCATCTAGGGGCCATTTTATGTATAAATTTATCTGATATTTGTAGATTTATCTTGGTAAGAGGACACCAGTGAAACGTGAAACACCCTTCATAAAAGGCTTCGGATTATTAACAAATTTAAAAGTCGCGTCATAATCCAAACGTATAAATAATGAATTTATTTATCGTTAATGTTATACTGTCTTCTTTATATTACATAGTATTATTGGCATACTTATTCAACAAAGACATTACTCAAATATCTATTTTACTTTTACACATGTGACGGCGATAAGGAGCATAAAAGGTCTGACTATTCATTTTATTCGTGCAAACCAGTGAGGTGTTACACAGAAATAGAAGATGTTAATACATTAGGTTCCCAATAGCACGATTCGCGCCAGGAAAACGACTTTGCGTCCGTCAAATTTTCAAATTTTTTTATTGGGGGGTGGGGGGTCCTATATGGTAAGCCCAGCGGAAATTGTTTCAGGCATTTCGGGCTCTGCCCCCCCCCCCCTAACATTCATCGAGCCCCTACGCCTATGTATCAGAACAATCTTTTTATCATCATTTACTATTCTCCATCACACAAAGATCAAACTTAATGTGTTAGCTTAACAATTTAGCTTTACTGGTATACCAATTTTAACCCCGAAATTACTTCTAAAGATGCATCGTTATGCCATAACGAACTACTATGTACGGTTATATCTAATTCCATTACACAGACCATTACTTCTGGACGATTTAAGAGAGCAAATGTGACACCAACCTTCTTTTTTTATAATTTGCGAATAGAAGTGTGTGTGTATATGTGTACGGCATTAGGCTGGCGGCCCTCATTATCTTCTCATGGACAATTTGTTTAAACACAGAAAGATAGATATCTTTAAAATATATCTTTAAATTATAATTTCTACTGCAGGCCCAATTTCATAGTGTAGGGATCAGTGGATGAAAGGGTTGTCTTAGTGAATTCATTGATACCAAATGAAACGATCCATTTTGCAATGAAGATTCATTGTCAAGAGTTCAATAATAGTGGCGTGATTATCTTCGAAAAACGTTATGAATTCGGCAGTGCTATCATTACGTTGTTGAGCGACATGCGTTCTTTGGACCAGTAGCAGAATTAGAAACTAACATAAGATTCCAAAACACTATCGTTGTGTACATACATAATGAAAGACTAGAACTCCGAAGGAGTACTGACGTGTTTCGGTACGTCAGGTCACGTCCGGCCATGTCTTGTCACGTCAACAGTCAACTTACACAATGAATTATTGAGTATAGTAACGCACAAGTCGATCAAAATTCAAAGTGAAACCGGAAGTAAACAAATTCGAAATTCAAAATCGGCTCCCTAAGAATTGTTTCCATTTGGAGTAGGTTTAAAACAAAAATAAGTTGTCGAAAATCGGAATCAAAATGGCCGGTGAATATTGATTTGAAGTTTTTTTGTAAAACCCAATATGGCGGCCAAACGGTTGAAAATTAATGTTATTAAACATGATGGCTGAAAATGAAAGATAATATCTGCGGTTAATGCCACCATATGTCATTTTTCAGGTTATGCCACAAACCGTTTTAATATGCCATCAATGTGGTCCTTATTCCTACCAAGTTTCAACTCGATACCTCAAATACTAATTGCTGAGGAAATCTTTCGCAAATCTTTGATTCTAAAACTAATCGAGAGAATTTACGAATTTCGAAAAACCGTCAGTCAGGACCCCGTATGAGATTCGTCCAAAGAATCCAAAAATGAAAACCCAACGAAGATCCTCTGAGAAATAACCGAGATACGGAGAATCTGAGATTTTTTTGTCCCATTCGTAAAACACTTCCTGTTCAAGGGTCATTGAAAGGTTAGGTCACCAGATAGAAGGGCAAAAGTCGAACAAAATTCAAAGTGAAGTCGGAAGTAGACAAAATCGAAATTCAAAAATCGACTCCCTAAGAAGTGTTGCCATTTCGAGTAGGTTAAAAACAAAATAAAGTTTTTGAAAATCGGAATCAAAGTGAAGTCGGAAGTAGACAAAATCGAAATTCAAAAATCGACTCCCTAAGAAGTGTTTCCATTTCGAATAGGTTAAAAACAAAATAAAGTTTTTGAAAATCGGAATTAAAATGGCGGCTGAAAATCGATTTGAAGTTGTTATTTTTTTGGTAAAATCCAATATGGTGGCCAAACGGTTGAAAATTTTAATGAACAAGGTTCCTGAAAGTGAAAGATATCTGGGGCTAACGGAAAAATCGGAAGGCCTCGGTAATATCTGGAAGTTTCCCAAGCCGCCAAAAAAAAATTAATTTGCCATTTTTAAGGCATCAATGTGTTCCTTATTCCTACTAAGTATTAACTTGATACCTCAATTAACTAACGGAGATACGCCATCTTGAATGTCGTAAATATGCTGAGGAAAACTTTCGCAAATCTATGATGCTAAAATTAATCGAACGAATTTCCTAATTTCGAAAAACCGCCAGTCAGAGCCCCTATGGGATTCGTCCAAATGAAAACCCGACGAAGATCCGTTGAGAAGAGCCGAATTTTTAATTTCGATTTTTTTTTACTCCCGGTTTCACTTTGTATTTTTGTATTTTGTTCGACTTTCGACCTTCTATCTGGTGACCTAACCTTTCAATGACCCTTGAGCTTTGTATATATGGTGACCCTGATATCTACTAAAAATTAATATTAAAAAGTCCGGTCTTGATTTATAACTTCCTTTTTTTTAAGAGTTCAGAATGACAATTTTTCCACTTTAATAGGTATTAGATGTTACTATATCACTAATTCATAGTGTAACTTGATTGTTGACGTGACAAGGCATGAACACGTCAGTAATCCTTCGGAGTTCTAGTTAATTGTTGTTGTTGTTTTGGGTCTTTTTTTTTGGGGGGGGGGGAGTCAGAGTTTGCAGCCAAAACTGTACATGGTGCCAATATTCTGCCAACGTAGATGTGGTTGGCCTCCGTGAAATTATATAGCAAATATAAAACAAAAATAATCTCAGATTCCCCATATCTCGGTTGTTTCTTCGGGTTTTCATTTTTGGATTCTTTGGACGAATCCCATATGGGCTCTGACTGACGGTTTTTCGAAATTCGGAAGATCGCTTGATTAGTTTTAGCATCAAAGTTATCTGCTTATCTGTATGGAATTTATATGCGTCATTTAAATTAGTATAAAGAAGAATACTATTGAATTTCAGCAATTTCCGTTTATTACGTCTAGAATTATGGCCCTTGTTTTACTTTGTTGAACCGTGTGAACGCTCTAACGCCAAAAGTTATCATCCGATCTCTGTTACATTTATATG